CCCTGTCAGCTCAGCTCATTCCCCTTTGAAAAAATGAAAATAAATTTAAAAAAAAAAAAAAATTAAAAAAAAAAAAACCCAGACCGAAATGTGCTGCGCGGGGGAGCGCGCCCCGCCGGAGCCCCCGTTTTAATCATTTTACTCTTAAAAGCAGAGTACGAAATACTGTGTAAAGGGTTGCCTGGAGTCACCGAGCCAGTCCCGCAGAAGTTGGTCTGTTTGCGGCAACACGTTTTTGCATCTTTATATCCAAAAACGTTCTGATGATGTTTTGAGGCGGCACTGGGGGTTTTTTGGTTGTTTTTTTTTCAAGGGTGACATATACCTTACCATATCATATATTTGATGACATATGCGGAGTTAATTGAGGTTGCCATGGAAGGCGTGCACGTAGTATAAATAAGCTCCCTTCTTACCATGTGATTTCGCTTTTGTATTCCGCAAGCTTCCTTTTTGTATTCCATGTTTTTGCATATTGTCATATGGTGCATTAAAGATAAAAATATCTGCTGTCTCAGGGTGTAATTTCCCAGGCTGGATCTATGAATGCATCTGGAGCAGTGGGGAAAAGGTGTAGCTAGCCGTAGGAGAAGAAAATACATGAGTGTGCGTGCGTAATATATATTTGCCATAATTTGGGCAATTAAAAAAAAAAATCCCTTTTACCACGCAAAATAGCAAAATAGTATTTTCCGTGGTAGACCATCACTGGGTTGACACCTTGGTGGCCTTATTTTGCCTTTGGATATATGATGCTAATTAGTGGAGAAAAACTGCTACGGTGCTTCTGTAGGTAGAACTGCTTTTCCAGCCCTGGTCTGCCTCCAAAATGAAATATTCTTTAAAAGAAATAGACTTTTTAATACCTTTTTTTTTTAAAAAAAAAATTGCGCTACAGGTCTTATCGTTTGTTTGTTGTGTTGCAGATAAAAGATGGAAGCGTTGGCCATGCTTCACAGCAAACCTCACACAACCTCCTGCGAGGGGAACTGAAGCAGAAAGCAAAGCTGAGACAAAGCAGCATCTGACCTTGTCACTGGGGGGCAGAAAACAGCCACTGGCTGCCGCTGGTTTTACTGGTGCTTCAGTCAAGCTCCCTGTGCAATGTGGAATTGCGGACGGCTCAGGAAGTGCAAGTCCTTTCCAGGTCCGTGGGGTGAATAAAAATTGTTAACTCTTGGCTTGATTTGTCATCCTTTGGGGGAAAAAAACGTAATGTCAGCCTGGCAATTAAATAGTCGTGCTGTTAGACCGAGCGCAACTCGAAGCGGGTTGTCCCGGAGGTGAGAGCGACTCTGGCCAGCGAAGCCAAGGAGAAGCCTGTTCAACTTCACGTCTCCCCGGGACTCCTTGGAGAGGTGATAAAGTGAGTAATAAGACAAAGTGGGAGTTATAAAGCACATGTGATAGCTTCAGCAGAACTTCTCTTCACTGCCGCATCCGCTCATTAAAAAGCAGCTAATGTGATTTTGAAAATAATTTGAGGAAGAAAAGTGCGCTTTGAGCATCTCTGCGTTTCTTGTGTCTGGTATATTAATCAAGAAAATTGGTAACATAACACAAACGAAGGAGAGGAGCAAATATGGCGAAGGCAGCTAAGGAAATCCAAATGGAGAACCCAGGAGAGGTAGATACTCAGGGCACAGGGGCGACGTGCTCCCCAGCGGAGGAACAGGCAGAAAAACCCTCCATGCTCTGTTTTAAGAAGCGGAAGAAGTCCTGTAAGAAGGGGCTGACCACGAAGGATGCGTGCGAAGGAGCCTCGGAGGAGAAAAGCCAATGTGTCAGCACAGACCAAGGGGAGGCGAAAGTTTCTGATCAGCCGCGATCCTCCAAAGGAGCCTGGGCAGCCATCAAAAACCTCGCAAGACCTCGGAGAAGGCAGAAATCCTCCTCGCGGAAGAAGGTGCCCTCCAATTCCCAAGTGCAGCTGGAGATGGACGCTGAGGAGGGCTGTGCACATGGCTTCCAAAAAAAACGGGCGAGCTCCGGGGTGAAGGTGCCCTGCGTGCAGTTCTCCAGAGGCAAGAAAAAACCCAGCCCCTCTGAAGCAGTGGAGGAGTCGGAGGGTAGTGTTCAAGCAAATGAAGTGGTGGGCGTTTTGAATAAAGCTAGTGAAGAGCCGGAGGATTTGGCCCCGACGGACAAGTCTGAATCCTTCAGCCCGGTCTCTGCAGAGGAGGACCAGGATACAGGGAAGGAAAGCACTGACTCTGTTGGGAAGAGCGAGCCCTTGCCAGAGCCCACAGCTGATGCAGAGGAACATACGGAGTGCGCTGCTCAGTCGGAGTTTACCGATTCAGAGACAATTAATGAAACACCCCAGGAAAAACCACAGGAGGGGAGCCTACCCCAAAGCCCAGTCCACACAGAAGGCCAGGAAGTTGCTCCCGAAGCTCCCGTTTCCAAGGATCAGCCCGACAGTACCCCTGAAACCACCGAGCTGCAGGAAATCCCTAATATCTGCAAAGAGCTGCCTGAAGGGGATGAATCAGAAAAGAGCATAAATCTTCCTGAGGAGTGCAAAGCTGAAGAGACTGTAATGGATTTCAGTCAGCCAGCGTTTAAAGATGATGCAGCGAGCGTGCAGGGCTGCTCCGGCCATCAGGTGACATTAGAAGCAAACAGGGGTGCCGGCATCGGCATCGTCATCACTGTCACCGAAGCCGAGGACTCTGACAACACCGACTCTGACCAGGCCTACGAGCCATCCCCGGTTTTGCACCGAAATAAGCAAAAAGGGAATAAAAAATCAAGCGGGAGCTTTGATTTTGGTAAAAAAGAGGGACCCGAGGCTGGCGGTGGTCCCCAGGCAGAGGAGAAAGGTCCGGGCGACCAAGGGCACAGAACTGGGGAGCAGTACGAACTGCTCCTCATAGAAACGGCGTCTTCCCTTGTGAAGGCGGCCATTCAGTCATCCATAGAGCAGCTGGTCAACGAAATGGCCCTGGAACAGAATAAACACAACAGTTTCCTGTGATGGCAGCGATGCCCCCAAAATACAGAGTGCAGGGAGTGATTTAAAGCTCCATTTGGCCTGGGATGGGGAGAGCTGGAAGGGCTCCCGGGGCCGAGGTGTAGTTAATTCTGCATGCCTGTTCAGTTGTGTGTCTATGTGAAACGGATCCTGGGACCCAGGGCAGACCCTGCCACGTACAGCGTGTCCCCTGGGGCTGGGGCTTCAGGCAGCACCATTGACCGCGCCTGCGGAAAAATGAAGGTGTTGTGGCAACTGTATTTTCATTTATTGGCATCTTTATGTCAAGGCCATGTTTCTGCTGTCATCGACGCCGGGTTTCCCCGCTGTTCATGCTGTAGATCTGTACCTACTGTGCGTTTAGCAAAAGGTCCCAAGGGGCGGCGAGTGCCCGACCCACGGCTGGGATGGATTTGGGGCACGTTGGTGGCAGCTGGAGGTTTGTCCTGGGGTTCGGCAGAGACGAAAGAGGGTGAAGTGACTGCAGTGTTAACATGAAGACATCAATGGCAGACAGGCTCGGGCTGGTGTTCAGTATTGCAAACAGGTACTTGCTATGTACAGATGCCAAAAACCACCGTCGCCCCTGCTGTCGTGTCGCGTGGAGCCGGATGGTTGCAGCGAGCGGTGTTTTTCATTCGGCCTCTTCCCCTGTCACAAGCAGCCTGTGCATTTCCAGACACCTTAAAGCCCCGCACCAGCCGCTCGCCTTGCTGACCCCGGGCTGCACAAATGCCAAGAAAACGACAGCGCTTCGTTTGCCGGGGGGCCCGTTCTCGCACCGTTAAGCTCATCGAGCAAAATTCCCAGTGGCACTGGCAGCGCGGGCTGGGCAGGAGCCTGCTGCAGGCAGCCCTTCTCCTTCCTTCGCCTCCCTCCATCCCAGTCACGATGTCATGGTGAAGCTGTCCTCGGATGTAGCATATTTTTTATATATGGCATGTGATATAAATAGCAGTGAGCTGCATGCGTGTTAGCAGTCAACTCTTGCCTCGGTGTTGACATAGTTTGGGTGGCGGCGATGTGCTGCCGGCACTGGAGTTGCTTTGACTGGGGAGGAGGTTTGGCGTGGGCGCTGCCGGCATCCCTGGGTGCTGGCGGCACCCCAGCTCCCCCCTCGCTGCAAAGCCTGCCCGGCTTCAGCGCGCCTGGGCATCCCCTGGGAAATGTGCATTACGCCTGGCTCGCTGCTGCCGGGCTCTGGCTGGCTCCGGCACGCCACGTTGCTTGCTCTGAAACAAGCAGGGAAATGCCGGAGTGCTCTTACCAAAGTCCTCAGGGAAATAAATCTAGATGTGAGGGCCTGGGGACACGGCTGTAAAATGCCCAGACAGGCCAATTGCCATCAAAACTCACAAACTGCCCGGCTCTGAGGGGGTTTGCACCAGTGCAGCGCGTGTGTGCGAGCATCGCCTCTACCTACCAGCTCTGCAAGAGAAAGGCGCCTTTTAATAATTTGGGATTGCATCTGCGTGGCTGGGATTTACGTACAGCTGCAGGCAAGTCAGCCTGTTCTGAGAAAATTCTCCTGCGTATTTCTCAGCCGACACAGAAATAGCAGCCTCGCTTGGCAATTGCTCACTGACCATAGGCGGTACGCTGAGATTTCCCTTCCCAGCATAGGATTTGGATTCCTGTTAAAATACAAGGGCTGTAAACTTTCCTAGTACCTGGTGCGCAACCACATTTTAAACTTCGATAAAGCATCTCCGTTGTTACGAGAGGACGGTGAGCAGCGAGTGCCACAGCTTGTTTCTGTGCAAGTAAAACTTAAGAAAAATGAGAGGATGTTAATGAGTGTCTTCTTTTTCTGTGAATTTATTTAATAAGTTATCAGATATCGATAATTCAGTATGTACGATTTTAATGGCTTTGTACTTCATACTGGTCCTTCCAGGTATTTTGCCGTAGTTTCGAAAGGGACTTTTTAAGGACTTCGATATGTATCTTTGAGCTGCTGCAGCACCCCGAGAAGAGCCGTACCGATGCTGGAGGTTGCTCATGGGATTACAGCGGGCCCCGCAGCAGGTCGGTGCCAGGCAAAGGGCTGCAGCATCTCTGTGGGGCCCCGCTGCTGTCGGCTGCGGAGGAAGACATCCAGGCTCTAAGAAAGAAACACAAAAGGACCCTGCAGGGCCTGGCTGTCATCTCCAGTCAGCCCACTAAGCAGTTTCAGGAGGATTTAATTTATTTTGGTATTGCCTTTTAGGCGACACACGTCTTCAAAAGAGGAGGAGAATGGCAGAAACGCTTTGGTCCAGCCTGGCCCCTGCGACTGTTGCTCGGCACCCAGGGTTGTGTTTGCATCCTTTCTGTAGCTGGTTTTTCCCTCGGTTATAGCTGTACATCGAACTGATGATTATTTCATTAAAGTAGAATGTACCCGTTGTTTTCTTGCCTTGTGCTTGAGTGGGCAGCTATGGAGAGATTTTATATATGAAAGGATAAACTCATGGTGGTGCTGCGTTGTGTCCAGCTTTTTCAGGCAGCTGTACAGTGAGCAGAAAGAAATCTTAAAGTTGTTAGCAGACCTGAAATCTTCAGAGGCTTGCTCCTCCTGTGCTCTTTTTTTTATAAGGTTTCCTTGCAGTGGCTGGCCAGTCGTTGTCATTCACAGAGTCCTGGCTGCCCAAGGACTGCTGTAAGGTATTTGTGAAGGATCACAAATTGCTGGTGGCTAAGAAATGCTATCGGATGCTCCGTACCACCAGAGGAAATGTTTGTGGCTCTGCAGACTGACGGGGGTCAAACCCCGCTGGGCTCTTGCCCACCCCAGGCGGCTGGTTTGGTTTTCTCTGCGAGCTGTGGGTTCGTGCTTTCTGCTCCCAAGGCTCCGGGTTGTCATTTCCAAACACAGTTTGGTGCTGATGGGGTTGGTAGCAGGGCCGGCACCTCGGGAGGGGGAGCAGCAAGTTTGGTGCTTCGGCACTTTTTGTTACGGCTCAAATGGACCCCACACCCTCTCGCGTAATGTATTTCATGTGATTTCTCGAGGTACTTTATAACATGCAGAAAATACGGAAAAAAAAAGTTACACATTTTTAATAGTGTTAATACTATCTATTCTTTCAGGTTTACAGAACAAAATATACTCGTGACAGCCGCTAATGACTTAATTAAGACTCCCTACTCCTCTATCTATGACTAGAGAGTTGAACATTAACATAACATTTATTCTTTCAGAGAAGGAATGATAAATTTACTGTTGCGAAGGAGTACCGGGCCAGGAAACCTGTGAGGACGTGACTGCCTGGTTGTGCCAGAGCACCAAAGGGTGGCCTGGTTTTAGGACCGAGTTCCTCACGGACAGCTGAAATAAACTGGAATAATACATAACCGTGGTTTCTTATGGCCTCATTCAGACTGCTTTTGGGCCGTCCGGCTCCTCATCCAGGAGCTTGCTGCCCCTCTGAATTACGGAAGTGGCTGCTTTGCAGCGGCATCTTAATGAATTATTTGGTTCTTCTGCTCACCCCACGGCCTGTGCTGCTGCTTTTCTCCCAGATCTTTCCAGCGCTCTCCTCAGCAGGGACAATTTGGCTTTATATTCAACAAGTCCCCTATCCCTGCTTTGCCATGTCATTTTGCATATTTTCATTTCCCACAGCTTTTTTATATTAGTAGTAAAGAAAAAATGGTTTAAATAGTATAACTCGTGGCCAGGAAGGCTTCCAGGGAGGTTAAAAAGGTTTTCTGTTAGGTCAACACCGAGCTCAGCAGAAACCAAGTGTATAGCTGAAAAGTTCCTTGTGGAAATCACTGTTAGACAATGATGGCACGAACAAATATTGCATTTTCTTTCCTGCCCTGGGATGCCAAAAATGCATTAGAAGTATGCAGGCTGCTTAGGGCCAGATCTCCAGCTGCCAAAGGTCCCTGCAGCTCCGTACGCTTCAAAGGACCAGATCTACAGCAGCCAGGAACCCAGCGTCTGAATTTAAGATGCTGTCCCTGCATAAATGATGGGCATTTTCATATGTGTGCATATGCATAAAAATGAAAAACTAAGACATGTTTTCACAAATGTATATAAGAAATTGAGTAAACTCACGAAATACACGTGAATCCTGCTCCGTGCTTGGGATGGATGGATGGAAGCCGACCCTTGCTGGTGGACCCACGTGTTCGGGGCAGTGAAGCCCTAATATTGCCTGCCTTACAGATACAGGGTTTCAACATGAGTAACTCAAGACGATTAAATGATCCAAGAGAACAGATTGGTTTAAATAATTTGCTTTAATATAATTTTATGTCTGCAGTTTTATTTCCCAGAGAAATGGTTCCTGTTAGCTCTTGTTGGGTGGTAGTGAAATAACGAAATATTTAATTTGCAACCAGATAAAATCTTTACATTAAATGTGATTTTTTTTAAAAAAAGAACGAGAGGCTGTTATTTCTTATACAGTTATTTAAGCAACAATATAGGCTAACATTTTTTAGGAGGCACAACTTTCACATTTCTTTCTTTCTGCAGAGAATTGTGAAGGGTGCAGTTCTTCTGTGCTAAATGATGGGATTTTCCTGCTATGGAGTGAAAGTCCATTTAGCTGGGAAGTGGATTCCAGCTAAAATACCCAACCCCAGCATTTTAAAACAGGTTATGTTACATAAACACTGACAAACATGCTGGATACAAAAAGGGGGGGGACGGGACACGACGTTAAGAAAACACATTTTGCAATTCAAATTGCTAAGATGAAAGTGTCATCTGCAGCTAGAGCTGGCTGGCAGTCACCCCAGCAGCCTGTAAGTGAGACCCAGCAGGGATCATCCTTTCAAAGCCCTTTATTCTGGAAGAGGAGACGCCAAGGTGGGTGCCTGAGCAGGGTCCCTTCTGCAGGTACCCGTGTCCTGCCAGGTGGTGCCTTTCCAGCGCCACGTCCGCACCAGCGCACCGAGCATCGCTCTGCCGTTGTCCCAGAGAGCAAATTTTAATCTTGAGAGGGATGTCATCTCTGCCACCTGACGACAGTCACTCGTGTCACGTTTGCTCTCACCGTTCG